TTCTGCCCTGCTACCAAAAGGATTGAGGAAAACACCACCTGAGCTCCTGTCTCTTCAACCAGTCACCAGTGTCCTAAAGTCCTTTTAATTGTCCTAGGACTTCTCGATCTCTTCCTGATGACCTGAACAACCCAAAGTGGGTAATAACCAGAGGGCTGAATAAGTCCTGGGAGTCTTCCAGTAATATTTCTTACCCGAACCCCAGGGAGGCTGCAAAATTCCCTGTGGGATGGGTCCAGTCAGCATATAGGCCCTCAGTTCCTCTCAAAAGGGAGTCACCTACAACAACTACCCTTCTTTCCTTCTTAACAGGTGTAGTTGTAATGCATCTGGTTGACTGACTTGCTCTGGGTAACCCCCAGGGTAGACCTTCTAGACCTTCACTATCATTTGCCCAACTCTCAAGTTTCAGAGCCTCATACCTATTCCATAAGTGCAACTTGGAAAGGCAAGTGAGGCTGGGAGCAGATTATCCTGCTGACCTCATTAGGGACCTGCTTCCATTCTCCTCCTTCTGCCTGATGGAGAGAGCATCGGGTTTCCTCTGACTCTTGCCAAGCTTCCACCTGCAGCATTTCTCTCAGGGATGGAAGCATGTGACTCCACTAGCATATTTCTCTCTCACGCTCCCTGATACTCCTCAGCCTCTCCACTTCCTCTTCAAGCTCTGCCACTAGGCTGAGCAGATCATCCACCTGGTCACAGACAAACAAGCCAGGCTCAAACACTCCCTGGAGCTGGAGACCTGGACAGCTGCATGCTTCTGAGGTCACCACTCTCCTTCTAGCAACAGCTTTCAACTATGTGGAATCCATTTTTGGGCCTGCTCTAGCTAGGTAAGCAAAAACCGCTAGGGGAGCTTGCCTCAGGAGCTGGGAGGGTGACTGTGCCTTCTTACATGCCCTGCTTACGTGAACTGCTGCACCTCACCTTGACTGATGGGCATATCCTCATTTGAAGAAACCGTATTTCTCAATACGACATATTCATTGTCTTTTCTCACGAATTCTACTGTTGATCTTGACTAAATTTTTTGTCATTTATTTCTCAGATATAACTTCAATCATCCATAGTTCCAGGCTGCAACTTCAGACCCTTTCTTAATATGCAAGTAAGTCATCAGGCTTGCATCATTATAACGGATACCAGAATAGGTGCCAGAAAATAACTCTAATTCTCTCTCATTTAACTTGTTAAAAAGATATAACTAGTGAATCTGGATGTTATTTGTGCTACTGAAGATGAATATAATTTAGTAACAGAATCCCTTTCTTCAAGTATTAATTTCAAGAACTTCTCAGTGTTAAAAAATTCTCAGTTCAAAACTACTAAGAGATCTCAGTATTTTCTCAAAACCCTTGTAACAGATACAGGAGTCTCTGCTAGATAAATAAGAAGATGATCCTCTATGGTATAAAAATAATTATGATGGGAGAGTAACATTTAATAGAGAAAAATACAAAATGCTTTTGTTTTTCATGTACTTTTTATTCAACTTCATTTCACTTACTTGACTTCTGAAATGTGGAAATTTACTTCACTTTGACATCCTACCAAGAAGTTTTAAAACTACTGAAAATGCTTATTTAGTATAATGTCCTCACTTTACAATTTTTCTTCTGCTTACAATATTTTACTATTCCAACAAGTATTAGAAAGTATTAGAAAGTATTCCAGCTAGTATTAGAAAAAGGCAGGAGACTAACATTTTACCAAAATATAGCACTAGTTTCTAACTCTAGTGGTTCTAGGAACAAAAGCCACTACATACTACCAAAACAAATCATCCCTTTACACAAAACACTGGCAGAAATGTAAAGAGGAGACTATCCCTTAGAAATCAACAAGTGTTTAATCACTGTGTGGAGTAGATTCTGCTGACTGTGGCCTCTGTAGAGGCCCACGAAAAGCCTTTGGTATCCTCATCTCCATTTCTCCGTAAAAGATTCCAAGCCCTTTCTCTTACATTTGTATGAATTAATCTTTGCAGGGAGGAAGAACTGGGAAGAGAACTTCTGCTAATTACAAATACTGGTGTACATTAAATTCTTTAAAGAAAAAATTATAAAAACACACCTTCGCCACAACTGAAAGCTCTGCTCTAAAAATTAATTATACAAGGAAAGGAATGTAAGCTGAATTACACATCTCAGTAGGAACTGAAATATTAAATTACATCTTCACAGACTACCTTATGCCAAAATGTAAATGTGTATTACACTTCCAGTAAAAATACTACATTGTGAAATGCATTTCCATTGTTTATATTACAAATAAAACAGCACAACTATTACATGCTAACATGGACAAGCAATGAGGAATCTGACATTAACTCTGGAAGTTTACAAAATAATTCATATTCACTGTTGCCAGGAGCATCTCCTCTGATCTGGTGTGTTCTGAACCTCTAAACAATTATCTTACTTTTTATACTTGAAAACACTGCAAATACTGAAATGGTAGGTTTTGAGTTTATTATTTCCCTCTCTTTGCCCTTAAGACTCATTCCACAGACAATAGACAGTAGAAAATATAGCTTGATTCAACTAATCTCCCCTTTGATGTATACTAGACACCAGGAAACAAGAGATGGATTCCAAAAGAATAGGGATATTTTCAAAATTACAGGCATTTGGCTGAGTAACATGGTAAAATCTGCATATTCAGGAAAGGCAGCTCTCCCATAACCCTAATTAGCCTAGAGTAAGTTAATACCAACTGTAAGCTGAATTTTAAATGCTCTTCTACTTAAGAATACTATAATTTGGGATAATTGTTTATTTATGCACTTCAAAGTACTTGTGAACACAAAGCATCTAAAGAATACCACCACTGAATCATAGAACCATAAATATTCTGAGGGGACACATCAGGACCATCGAGTCCAACTCCTGTCCTGCACAGGACACTGCAAGAATCACACCATGTGCCTGAGGGCATTGCCCAAACACTTTTGGAACTCCGTCAGGCTTGCTGCTGTGACCACTTCCCCAGAGAGTTTGTTCCAGTGCTAAACCACCTTCTAGCTTTTTCCTGGTATCTAAACTAAACAATTAAACCTCCACTTCATGCCATTTCCTTGAGACCTTTCTCTGGTCTCCAGAGAGAAGAGACCAGTGCCTGTCCCTTCATTTCCCCTTGTGAGGAAGTTGTAGAATACCATGAGGTCTCCCCTCAGCCTCTTCCAGGCTGAACAGACCAAGTGACCTCAGCTGTTCCTCAGACGGCTTCCCCTCCTGACCCTCTACCATCTTTGTAGCCCTCCTCTGGACACTCTCTAATAGCTTTATGTCTTTCTTTTATCGGGGTGCCCAAAACTGCCACAATATTCAAGGCAAGGCTGCACCAGTGCAGAGCAGTGCAGGACAATCCCCTCCCTCAACTGGCTGGTGATGCTGTGCCTGATGCCTCCAGGACACGGTTGGCCCTTCTGGCTGCCAGGGCACTGCTGACTCATATTCAACTTGCCAGGGCCCCCAGGTCCCTTTCCATGGGGCTGCTCTCCAGCCTCTCACTTCCCAGTATGTACACATATCCAAGGTTGCCCCATCCCAGGCGCATATGGTTGATGATTGCCCATCTCTCTAATTTGTCAAGGTCTCTCTGCAGGTCCTCTCTGTCCACAAGAGAGTCGACAGCTCCTCCCAGTTTAGTGTCATCGGCAAATTTCCTTAGTATTCCTTTGAATTTTGCGTTCAAGTCATTAATTAAGATGTTGAAGAGGACAGGGCCTAAGGGAGCCCTGTGGAACCCCACTAGCAACTGTTTGCCAGCCTGATGTCACCGTAACTCTTTGTGACCAACCTGTGAGCCAGTTGCTCACCCATTGCATAACATGGTTATCCAGTTGTATACAGGACATTTTGCCCAGAAGGATACTGTGAGAGACAGTATGAAAAGCTTTGCAGAAGTCCAAAAAGATTACACCTGCTGGGCTTCTTAGATCAAGCAGGTAGGTTAACATGCGGTGACATGGATACAGAAGTAAATGTGAAGGTATGTAGATGATATGTACCTCTCTCTAAGATTGTCCCTTACAAACATTTTCAATCCTCTCTTATTTTAGCGTGGTTGTCTGTGTTTCCCATTTCCCCATCCAGCCCACATCACCGTCCAGCACCCTCCTGTCACATCTCAAGTTCTGTGTGCTCTGCTACCAGAGCCCCTCCTTTACCACTGCCCCACTGTGTTTTCAATACCACCATCTTTTCTCATGACAGCCTTTATTTTGCAAGTCTGCAACTCTGTGTAACCGCTTTTCTCTCAGTCATTCTGCTCCCCATAATCCTTTTGTTCTGCTAGATGAATCACTATGGATGCTAATATGCTTCTCTCTAATGTGAATATAGGTGAAGATGAGATGCTGGCATGGCTTAACTGTTCAAATGTTGCATGACATTGTTTGAAAGATATGAAGTTATGGCTATGCTAAATAACAGCAAAGGCTTTCATGTGTCACCTCTTTTCCTTTGAGTTCCCTAATTTCCTATAAAATCTACGCTACACTAAAAATCTACTCTACACTAAAAACTGTCCCAAAATACAATTTTTTGCAAAGTTTCCATATTGGAAAACAGAAAAGGAAACCACACAGAAATGACAGCACTCTTCAAACTTCACTAATCAGATGTCTTACTTCTGCACTAACTTGCCTATTCAGAATTGAAAGTTTACCTATACAACTAAGAGATTAAACAAAGGACTAAAATTAAATAATACATTGTATATTCATTAGACACCAAAAGATGCATACAGTTGGCAGTTAATGTATCTTCAGCAATTAAAAATTCAGCTATATGAATATTGCAATAATTTGAGATTTTAAATTATTTATCTTGAAGTGGCAAAGAAGATCACTATTTAAAAATAGCATGCAAGATGCAAGTCATGAAAAATTGATGTGAAACAGCAATCTAAGACTTCAGCTCACTTTAAGCAAAACCATTAATGCTAAAAAATTCCTACCAAATTCAAGTCAATGCAAAAAGAAATTTTATGACCTGTTCCATCAGTTCTTAATCCTCAGTTTTATTCTCTCTGAAGTACACTAGCAAGCTGTATGAACTAAAAAAAAAAAAAAAATAAAAAGAGAGATAAATCAAATCACAAAGGAGAAAATTAAACTCTTTCTGAACCACTCCCTTTTTCCTTCTGTTTGCCCCCTCTAATATTTCATTTTCTTCTACACTTCTCCTCCCAAATTTCCCAATGAAAATAAATGCCGGATGGCTTTCTGTTAAGTCAGAAAAATCATCTATAACTGCACTTTACTGTATGTGCTGCTTAACACATCCCCACAGTGAACCTAACATTTAGAACCTATCATATCAACATAGTCATCATGATCCAAGCTGCAAGTAATAGAGAGTGTCACTGTCAATTTTGCTTTCTTACACTTCCTTCCCTTCACTTCATCTGATTTTAATAATCCCTGTCAAACCACAAACAGTCCAAATTATTTTCTTGACACAGATGCTTTCAAGGAAGAGGCAGAATCTCAACTTTCATTTAGTGACTACAAAAGCAAGCTGTCCAACTGGACAAATATTAGTTCCCCTCTTGACAATCTCTACTGTAAAGCATCCTTTCGAATTTTCACTGAAGCTGCCAAGGGTTTGAGATAAGCTTCTTGTTTAGTGTAGATTGACTCACAGGATTAGCTCACCAACAACTGTCATGTTTAAAGAAGCCAGCAGTTTCAAGTAAAAAAAAAAATTGCTTGTAAAAGATCACAATTGCTTCCCATCAGAAGCCTCATGGGAAACATTTGTTTAAATACCTCAAATTACTGTCTCATGCATGGGCCTAATTCAAGACTAACCAAAGCCAGTTCAAAAGATTCTTTGGTAACCAGACAGCATATAGCAAAACAACCTTTGATAAATCTATAAAATCACAACAAAATGCAGAGGTATATGCATAGATGGTGTTTAGAGTTCCACAGCAAGAGAATTGTACTTGCTACTAATACAGCAGCCTTTTAGTGCTCTTTTAACAGTTTGGGCTGACAACTGGCTCTTCATGATCACTCACTCATCTTCATGGCCAGACATCCTCCTGCTTGCCTTTTATTTCTGTTTTCCTTCCTAGTGAAGAGTAAGAGTTTTAAGAGCTTACCGTACTCTTCTCCTTTAGTATGGCTAGTCAAAGAACAATCTTGATACTCAGCAGAATATTGATTCTACCACAGGTCTGCATCAGATCAGATCTGTATGTTCTTTTATTCTAAAAAAAAGTATCTGATCAAATATCACTTAAAGGAGAAAAAAAAATATAAGTAACACACAGACCAATGGTATTGTCACTTTTAATCAAAAGGACATTGATTTAAGCCTCTTTAGGTCCAGTGCTTAGTCTTGACTATGTCTTGACTTCTAGTTAACTAACAGTTTGTATTCAGAGCAGAACTCGTAACTGCTACGAGCTAGCTTTATGCATTAAAAAAGCACAGGTTATATATCATTTCAGGTTTAAGCACTACCAAACAGAACAGAAATAGGAGATAGGAAAGGCATCTGTAGAACAGTATATTAAAGTACAAATATACTGACTGATATGAAAGTAGGTCTGCGCCACATCTAGTTAATGGTAACTAAAATAACTGTGCAAAACTAAATCTTGTGTCTAACTGGCTTGGAGTTCTGTAACTATCGTGGAAGATAAAAAAAATAAATCTTAAGACAGGACCTTCTTACTAATTCACAATTCATATATAAATGATTTTTTTATCTAGTTTCTCAGAGGTAGCCTTTATATTCCCAGAGCACCCACTCTATATTTTTACCCAGTTTTGTCTTACCTGATAACTTTTAAGATTTTATATCTTTATTTCTTGGCAGGAAGTGCAAGTCATCTCAACTACAATGCTACAAAAGTAAAAAAAAAAAAAAAAGCATAACCAAGAAGCAGTTTTAAAGAATACTTATCCACAATATCTTTCCATTGCTGTTGAAGAAGAAAGAAAGGAAAATAAAGGAATAGTTACTGTGAAAGGAATTTCCTTCTTCTCAAAGACACCTTAAACTATACTTTCACACTCCAGCTTTATCATAGGGCAACTAAGAGTCCTGCAGCTGTCAGCTCACAAAAGAAACATCCTGTATTCATGGCTAAGTTCATTTACCTCTACACTATTGATCTATATATGCCATGGAAATGCCATGTGGGTACTATACAAGAATACTCAGCTTTAATACATTCAGCTATCTCTTCTGGGAAGATGCTGTATCAAGAATACTATTTCAAAACATGATAAAGGCAAGAGTGTAAAAAGGTGAGAGAATGAATCATTACTTAATGCATTCACACAGGGGGAAAAGAAATCATTCTTTGGAACAAGACCAGGTCATAAATTACTGTGCAAGAAGGAAAGACAATCAGCTGATTTGTGATGCAGAAAGGGGTACCTCCTGCCTACCTTAAACGACTGCTGTAAAATTTATATTAAATTCTCTGGTGCAGAAAGCGCTTAGCCTTTGGTTTCACGATTAAGAGAGCAAGTGTTCATAAATATCTTATAAGTGAACACCATGCACTGTATTATTTCTTACATAATTACAAGACTTAAATGAGTTGTGCAACCAGCCACAAAGTGAAACTACAGTGTAAACAATGTGCACTACTTGCCTATTACTTCAGAACAAAACCTGGTTGAAAACTAAAGATTGATTTTTGGTTGTTTTGAAGGAAGACTACATTTCAAGTTTCTAGAAAGAGAGGGGAACATCACAAACTAAAGGAGTAAAATTTTTTTCCTATGGTCATATTAATATTTTAGCAAATTTCTTTTCCCTTATATTAATTTTAAAGAATTTTACAACTGTTCTTAAAAATAAAAAATTAATAAGCCATGTAATATTCAAGTTGGAAATTTATATTACAATCAAATTTTTAAGTTTTAATCTATATATTTTTTGGTTTAACTGCCTAAAACCGAGTATAGTAATAACTCTAGCAAAATATCCTTCAGAAGCATGAATATCCTTCAGAAGTAAATTATTTTTATATAAGAGCCCAACAGTGAACCTCAGAGCTTCAACTCTATTCTAATAATCTGTAAGATAAATTGTGTTTTTTGTGACCCAGCCAACAAGATTCCTGAGCCAAGATTCCTTTCACTTGTACACCTCCATGAAATAGTTTTGAGGATGTTACAAGCACAAACAAAATATCCAATGAGAAAAGTAGTTAAAGGCACATATTCTGAATAAGGAAGAAAGTGTTCAAGGATACAAAAGGGGTGAAGCATTTATTGAAACAACATATTTTTTCTAGGTAAGCAGTAATATCACAACACTTTTATGCTAATTTTTGGAGCTAAAAATTATTCAGAAACTTTAAGTTTGTTCCAAATAAGTGAATCAAAAGTCAATAGCTTTGCAAGTGGGTATCATGTAATGGCATTGAATGAATCCTTTGATTTTTAGTAGCAAGGCAGACTGGAATGATTTTTCCACTTTCTTTCTCCATTGCAGTGTGCACCAGAGATAAGTTTATGACAGGAAAAGAACAAAGCGAACTGTATTCCTCATTACTCCCTATATCTGCATTACCTGACATAACTTACATGTTCCCAGTCAAATGGCATCTTAAGAATTAAAAACATTATGGAGACTACTATTCTTATTTCAAACAATCCACTTCTTTATCTGTACCAGTGGATGATACAGCTTGCTAAACCAATTCTTTTTTAAATGATCACAAATTTTTATTAAAGTTAGTTTTTTGTGCTATTATGCATTCATAGCAACACAATAAAAAGAAATTAAGAGAAATTGATTGACTGTACTAAGAAAAGAGATTCAGACTACTTGAAAGAGAGGCCACATTTTCTGACCCTTTTTTCACAGGATTCTACCAACCTTCTGTAGCAGCCACTTGGCCAGTGCAAGACTATTTATCTCTATTTACCAGGCAGCTGAATAAGCACTGACGGTGGCATGGGGCAGGTGATTGAAGTGAGTGACTGGTGCAGGCCTGACCACTTGGCAGCAGTGCCAGTCTATGCCAGATGAAGTTGACAAAACCATGATGAAAATAATGGATTGCCTTCACTAGACTTACAGACCTTGAGAAATCATCTCTACAGAGGGACTGAGAGGATTGTGTTTACACGCACATGCTAACTTACCTGAACAGAAAGTTCCATTACGTTTAACAGCAACAAAATGAGAAATCATATGTAAAAAATAACAGAAACTGTTCACCTGCTTTTATTTCACATTATTTTAAGTAATTAAAATTCCTTTAACAAGTCTTTCTACATACTCTACATCCTCTTGGTTTATTCAGTACTGGCCACTAAAAAGAAAGTGGTTATTTACATGGAAAAGAATTGGGAACTCTTAGTACTTTCTGGGGGTTTAGCTAAAGTAACCCAGGACTAAGGTTCCTGTAACTCATAAGTTCCATAGAAGTATCAGCAAAGAAAAAAGCAAAGGAAGTTTAAAAGAACATGTACATACTTATGCATGTAAGTTTGGTAACAAGATAGCCCCTGCTCTTTAACCAATACTCTCTCATCTGTGTTTAAAATTAAAAACAAAGCCAATAAAGCCCGTATTGTTTCCACTGCTTTTATTATTTTTCTGAAAACAGAATACAAAAAAAAAACTGTATAAAAAATGACAGAAAGGTTGTAACTCCAGCCCACAAAAGGCAAGAAATTTAAAGTTAGTCTGACATTCAATCCTTAAATCATGCAATTGTGCTTATTTTTTAAGAAATGACAGTGCAAGGTAATGACAAGTTGTCAGCCCTAACTTTGAATTGCCTGAAGTTTGTCATTTGGTGTTTGTGTCACAACCTTAATGCTATTTAAATGTAGTTTTTAGTATCTATTATTTAAAAAGGTCTACTTTACGACAGCAAAAAGCTTTGATGGAATAATCCTCAAAGTACACTGCAGTGCTGGTATGCCACTTCATTAGAAGTAGTGCATAAAATATATGCTGTTGACAAATCTAATTCATTAAAGGTGAGGTAGAAGAACTTTAAAGCAAGTGGATGGCATCATTAGCTACAGTTCCTTTTATAAATTATTCTTCTTTTCCCTTTTGAATGACTTTGTCAGTGTTCCCTTTCCAGACAGTGTTTTTGCCTTAAAATTCAATACCTTCAACATGTTTGCACAAGTTAAACAAGTAGTTTATTCACTAAAACTGAAACTGTAAGCAGAAACAATCGCACTGATTATTTCACCAATATTAACTAATGAAAAATATATTTAAGTAATAATACAGATAAATAGAATCAACCAGGTTGGAAAAGACCTCTGAGAGCATCAAGTCCAACCCTTGATCCAACACCACTGTGGTTACTAGACCATGGCACTAAGTGCCACATCCAGACTCATCTTAAAAACCTCCAGGGATGGTGAATCCCTGGGCAGCCCATTCCAATGTCTGATTACTCTTCTCCGTAAAAAATTTATTCCTAACATCCAACCTAAACCTCCCCTGGCACAGCTTAAGACCATGCCCTCTTGTCCTACTGCTGGTTGCCTGGGAGAAGAGACCAACCCCCACCTGGCTACAACCTCCTTTCAGGGAGTTGTAGAGAGTGATGAGGTCTCCCCTGAGCCTCCTCTTCTCCAGGTTGAACAGCCCCAGCTCCCTCAGCCTCTCCTACAGGACTTGTGCTCGAGTCCCTTCACCAACGTCGTTGCTCTTCTCTGGACCTGCTCCAGCACCTCAATATCCTTCCTGAACTGAGGGGCCCAGAAATGGACACAGTACTCCAGGTGTGGCTTCACCAGCGCTGAGTACAGGGCCAGAATCACTTCCCTGGTCCTGCTGGCCACACTGCTCCTGATCCAGGCCAGGGTGCCACTGGCCTTCTTGGCCACCTGAGCACACTGCTGGCTCATGTTCAGCTTCCTGTCAATCCAAACTCCCAGATCCCTTTCTGCCTGGCTGCTCTCCAGCCACTCTGTCCCCAGCCTGCAGCGCTGAAGGGGGTTGTTGTGGCCAAAATGCAGGACCTGGCACTTGGCCTTGTTGAACCTCATCGCGTTGGAATCACACCATCTCTCCAGCTTGTCCAGGCCCCTCTGCAGAGCCCTCCTGCCTTCCAGCAGACCAACACAGCCCCCAACTTGGTGTCATCTGCAAATTTGCTAATGGTACACTACATTGATCCCTGGGGTACACCACTAGTGCCTGGCCGCCAACTGGATGCAGCCCCATTCACCACCACCCTCTGGGCCCGGCCCTCTACCCAGTTCCTAACCCAGCAGAGTGCCCCTGTCCAAGTCGTGGGCTGCCAGCTTTTTCCGGACTATGCTGTGGGAGACAGTGTCAAAGGCTTTCTTGAAGTCCAGATAGACCATATCCACAGATCTCATCCACCAGGCGGGTCACCTGACCATAAAAGGAGATCAGGTTGGTCAGACAGGACCTGCCCTTCCTAAACCCATGCTGGCTGGGTCTGATCTGTTGTCCATCCTGTAGCTGTTGTGTGATTGCACTGAGGATGATCTGCTTCATAACCTTGCAAGGCACTGAGGTGAGGCTGACAGGCCTGTAGTTTCCCAGGTCCTCCTTGCAGCCCCTTTTGTGGATCAGCTTGACGATTTGCCAACTTCCAATCATCTGTGACCTCCCCAGTGAGCCAGGACTGTTGGTAAATGATGAGAGTGGCTTGGTGGGCCCTTCCACCAGCTCCCTCATCACACTAGGATGGATCCCATCTGGTCCCATTGTGAGACTTGTGAGGATCCAAGTGGCTCCATAGGTTACCAACTGTTTCCTCCTGGATTACAGGGGGGCTACTCAGCTTCCTGTCTCTGTCTACAAGCTCCAGAAGCCAGCTGTCCTGAGGACAACCTGTCTTACTGTTGAAAACTGAGGCAAAGAAGGTGTTAAGT